AACTCCCTATTTTAGCAATCCTCCCACCTCAGCCTCCCAAAGTGCTGGGATTACAGGCATAAGCCCCCATGTCTAGTCCATATACTACATATTTTATATATATATTATATTTATATAGGATAAGGTATTGGCTCACCTGATTATGGAGGCTGTGAAGTCTCATGATTATCCATCTACAAGCTGGAGACCCAGGAAAACCAGTGGTGTGGTTCAAAGGCCTGAGAGACAGAGGGCCATTGGTGTAGTTTCCAATCTGAGTCTGAAGGCCTGAGAACAAGAGTGACCAGAACAGGGAAGATTAATGTCCCAGCTGAAGCAGTAAGGCAGAAGAAGCCAGATTCCAACTTCTTTGCCTTTTTGGTCTAATCAGGCCCTCAACAGATTGAATGATGCCCACCTGCCCTGGGGAGGGCCATCTGCTTTACTTGGTCCACCAGTTCATATGCTAATCTCTTCTGGAAACATCCTCACAGACACACCCAGAAATAATGTTTCCTCAGATATCTGGACATCCTATTGCCTAGTCAAGTTGACACATAAAATTAACCATCACAGTAAGACTGTAGATATAAATTCAAATACCATAAGCCCTTGGTTTACTCATCTGGAAAAGGGGAATAATAATATAGGGCTGTTGTGAGGATTAAATGATAAATTAATATAAAATGCTTAGAACAGTGACTGACATAAATGCTATGTCGGCATTAGCTATTAGTATTGTTATTATCACTGTCAATACGAAGGGCATGATATATGATTTATACCTTGCCTGGCCTGGATAAGAGTCCCTATAATTGGGCAAGTAATGGCCAAAAGCTGATGGGACTGTTGAAAGAAGACTCCTTGGGGCTCTGCCCACAAGTTGAGCTGCTTCAGCGTTTCGGTGACTTAATAGGACAGGGTTGGAGGGATGTCTCTTTTCATCATCCCTGTACTAGACTGTTCTGGCCCCAGGCACTAGAGTCTTTGGGAACACTCTGAGGTAGCACCTTGGCATGGACCTCATTGTTCTTGTGACTGGTCATGGCAGCAGAGAGGCAGTGAGAGAAGAGAGTAGAAACAGCTGTGACTCTTACCAACATATTTTTATAGGTACGTAGGAGATACTTTTAGAAATTTATAATATACCACTTTGAGGACTCTCAGTAATAAATGGGGAGGATTTTGAGGGAGTAATAAATTTTTGTACTATGATGATCAGGTTATCATGCTGGCAGTTTGTGTTAAACTCTTCACCCTCAAGATTGGCATCTTTAGGATTGTCAAGGAGCACAATCCTTCCTTTTGATCCATATCCCTTTGGGCCAACATTGACATAGACTATTGAGCCAAATGATCCAGAGACTGGGCCTGCAATCATGGTACTGTATTCTTATATTCCTCTTTGATTAGAAATGAATGACTAATATTAAAATAATCAAAAGATTCAGAGCACTGTTTCAGCATCTGTTACATTTAAACACTTGTGGCAGAAATTTAAATTGTATGATGTATTTTAGTGAATACTTTTAAAATCAATCAATATATCGTGTCTCTGCTCATCTTAGTGTACAAGACAGGCCATGCAAGTCCCCTGCCAATTATGTTTTACCTGTTTGGGAGGCACTGAGAGCCCATATCACCCTACCTCCTGTGTACCTCCAGTGTGCATCCTGCTGTCCTATCTCTAGCTGGGCCATTAATAGGTACTTTCCCATATGCAGGCTTGCCAGTAGCATGAGGTTGCCTCACATAAGAGTTTTACTCAACAGGGGTGTCCTATCCTGGGTAGTGATGAAATTAAACTCTTTGAGGAATTTGAATGTAAGTCATATAGACAGAGACTGAAGAAAGTAATTTAGCATAGAAATGAGACACGTAGAGGAAGTTAGCAGAAGCCATGAGGAAAGAGGAGGAGGATAGAGGTAAATCAGGCAATCATGATGTATGAAGAAGAGGCAGGTAGACCCAGAAGGAGATAGGAGGTGCTGAGTCAAAAAGCATGGAGTCTACTAGAATTAAGTCACTAGTGTATCCTCGACAGCCATGAATGGCCTTCCAATTTTTGTGCCCTGCAGGAGTGGTTTTATTTACTTTTGTAACTTTCTATGTATCTTGATAATAAGCCTTATCACTTGAAGCCTAAGTGTGCCTCTCTGTTTCTTGAAAGCTGAATGAACCTAACACCTTTCATTCCAGCACCAATTTAGCAAACTGACTATGTGGGTTTAATTCCCACGTGGAACAAGTTGGCTTTGCAAGGGTATGTGATCATCCTCTCCAACACCAAACAAGCTATGAAACACATATCAATTGTTATAAGAAAGATGAGTTTGAGACTCTGTAAGAACTACTGAGGCTGGGCGCAGTGGCTTATGCCTGGAATCCCAGCTCTTTGGGAGGCCAAGGTGGGAGGATCATGAAGTCAAGAGATCGAGACCATCCTGGCTAACATGGTGAAACACCGTCTCTACTAAAAATACAAAAAATTAGCCAGGTGTGGTTGCATGTGCCTGTAGTCTCAGCTACTCAGAAGGCTGAGGCAGAAGAATCGCTTGAACCTGGGAGGCAGAACGCAGTCCAGGGCAGACTTGGATAGAAACATGTGATAACCTGGGAGGCAGAGGTTGCAGTGAGCTGAGATCGCACCACTGCACTCCAGCCTGGGTGACAGGGCAATGCTCCTTCTCAAAAAAAAAAAAAAAATAGATTTACTGAAAACCTGTCATCAATGTTGTAAAACAAATCAAAGCTGAAGACTATTCTTAGTGGACCAATAATATTAACTCTTTAACATGAAAAACTACCCCTTCTCCCACTTTCAGATATAAATTATAAAGTTGAACCATATGTTTAAATTTAATTATTTTTACTATTCACTGGGTAAATCTCCTATAATCTCTTGTCTTTACCCTGTCAGGATGATGTGGAGTTGGGAAGAGTTTGCATTCCCAAAAGAAAGCAAGTGCTGTTACCAGAAGAGGGGGAAGATGTGTGTGACAAACAAAAATGATAGACAGCCTATGCATAACTAGGTACAAGAGGGCTATATCAATACAGTTGATAAAATATTATATTCCAATAAAATCCATACAGAGCATAGAGCAACATGAATAATGGTATTTAGTGAATACCATGAAAAACAATATTTAGTCAGAAGGCAATAGAATTGAGGATATAACATGATTACAACTTTAGAATATGAAAAAATAAAAACCTTTTGCCTTGTGGTGGTGGAATAATGGATTATTATATTAAAATCATTAGTGTATTTATAAGAATATTTCACAATGAACAAAATACATTCATTAAAAAAGACACCTTATTCTACTTTTAAGTAGGGAATTCCATTTTTTAAAAAAATATGGGAATCTGCTCTTCAAGTAACTATTTATTGGAAACTTGGAACTGTTTATGAGATCTGTGATTCTTTCCCCTGGCTGTTTACTGGTCTTCCCCCAGGTTGAAGAGCTTGGTGACCATTTGAAGCTCCATTGCTGTTGCTGCAGAAACACTGCCAGTTTGAAATGACTGCTACCACATGCCATCACTCACCACCGTTATCAAAATCTGAGTGGCTTAGGTGGTCTGAAGGGAGGTCCCACCTTTGCCAGAGCTAGGGTCCAAAGACCCTTTCAAGGCACTGTTTGCCACAGTTTTGAACCTGGTTAGATCTTCAGAGCGTAGGGAAGGCCGCTCCTCTCCCCAGTACTGTACTCAGTCCAGGGCAGACTTGGACAGAAACATGTGATAACAACAACAGCAGAATATAACTGCTTGGATTCCAGAGGTGTAGTTCCCCTGGGTCCACTGCGTGAGCTCACACACACACACACACACACAAAAACATCTGTTTTCCCTCTGATGTGTGACTACCATTCATTTTTTCAGAGAAAATAATTGACCATTTTACTTGTTTGTGAGCATAAAGAGGGCAGGCTGGAAGAAATAATTGTGATTGTAATGACATTTGTGGATGTGAAAGATTTGGAGGAGGGGCAGTCCCTGCTGAGCTTTCAACACTGAACATATGTTAATTTATAATTGGGGGTGTGTTTCGGGGGGGTTATATTATGCAATAACTATTGAGGAATGAGCAAATTGGAAAGAAGCAGATTTGGTTTGTGCAAAGATAGTTCCAATTACGGTAATACATGGAACCTGACTATCCTCTATGCCTGATCACCACAGAGCTCAATATTTGCAAATATATTGAAACTTATTTTATTTTATCATACCAGTACATTCTATACCTATTCATCCTACCAACTTGGTGTCTACATAGATTAATATATTCTTCCAGGTCATGTGGTCCCCTGTTCACCCATCATAGTTCATCCAGATACTACTCTTCCTGCCTAAATATCAGTAGGGTGACCAATTGACCCAGTTTATCTGAGACTGAGGGAGTTCCTGGAATGTGTGACCATCAGTGCCAAAACCAGGATAGTCCTGAACAAACCAAGATGAGTTAGTTAGGCTAATCTCAGGTCTGCTGTGAAGGCTTTACCAACTTTATTCTCACCCATTCTAAAATGGCCTTCAATGAGTTTTTTTCATCTTTAAGGTTAATACACACTCATTTTCAGTTTATTTAACATATATTCTCTATTGGGGGATTATTTGCAAGTTTCTTGAGGGTAGGACCCACATATTTTTTAACAGCAGAGTGCTAAGTAAGTATTAGAAAATAAAGTGGATCTAAGAATTTAAAAATAATACTTACATTGTTTTAAACATTATGCAAGCTTCCTTTTGGTTGAATTAAGTAAAGCAATGAAGCTTAATGGTTATGAATGTGGATTTTATTTCAGGACAGGCTTGGGTTCAAATTTCCACCTTGTCAGTTACTGATTATGTGACATTGGGCAAGTTAATTAACCCCACTGAGTCTCAATTTCTTAAATCTGTAAAATGGGAATAAAAATAATAACCACTTCCCAGGAATATTGTAGGCATTAAACAAAATAATGGCTAAGTGTGTAGTATTTTGTGTAGCACATAGCACACAACTCGTTATTATGTGGTGTTTGTTAATAAATGATTACAAGTCAATTAATTATATTCTTCCATGCATTGTTTCTTCCAGAGAGTTTATGTCATCCCAAGCAAAAGCAGTTATTAAAACTACTGATGATTATTTGCAGCCTCAGTTTGGCCCCAACAGACTTGTGCATTCAGCAGCAGTACCAGAAGGGTCAGGACTTCAAGATTACTCCACACATCAAACAGCATCAGATCACAGCCATGATGAAATATCAGACCTAGATAGCTACAAATCAAACAGTAAAAAGAATTCTTGTTTTATATCAGCATCCAAGAGAAACAGACCTGTCAGTGCTCCAGTGGGTCAACTGAGGTAATCAAAGCTGTTCTCTGTTCTTTTTAACCTACTGTTGAAGTTCTTTCCTTTGAGCAGAATTTATAATGTTTCAATTGACTATCTCAGACATTAAAATGTAACACATCTCTATGGTTTTGTTTTTGTTTTTTTCTTTGAAAGCACTAGAGTAGAATGTTGTTAATTACACTGTAGGAAATATGAGATATACTTCAACCTGGGTAATCAGAAACTCTGAAAAGAATATTTGAAGCAGAATCAGGCTAGGATCATGAAATATCTTTGCTCACACGAACTTATTTAAAAATAAAAATGCTTTCTTTTGATATTTAACCAATAGTTTGAAACAGAATTGAATGACATTATTATAAAACCATTTTGTAAATATGTTTTCACGTCAAGATTGTTATCGTAAACTGTTAACACAAGAGTTCATAGACAGAAGAAAATATTGGTAAAAACTAATACCAATCAAGCCAAGAAACTAATACCCCACTATTTTCAGATATTTGAATATGTGAATATGTTGTGTTTTTAACTTACGTGACATTTTAATTTTAAAATGTTTACTCTTCTTCTGTGGCATTACAAATTAACTTGGTTAGAGAATTATGAAGAAAATTTGACATGTTAGTTTACCACATACTTTTGCTGAGAAAAATCATAAAGATCAAAATTAGTTTTGCCTGAAGATGAAACTTAGAAATCTTCACTTTCACCACTTCCAGACAATTTGAAATAAGAACAATACAATTAAACTTGGAATCAAAATTTTAAAATCAAAATATTTTTGAATTTTAAATCATTTTTTAAAAAATTAAAGAATTTTGATAAACATGAAACTTGTGTAGAATCTTAGCCATTTGCTGTTTCATGATATTGAGACCATATTACTATTTTTTGCTATCAGAACATATCATATATATATAATTTTTAGTTGCATATGATATATATATTTTTTTAAAGGACTGTTGTGTTTTATAAGTAAAGTGATAAAAAATCATTTATTCTGATATATATGTTTTATATGAGCAGTTTTGGCAAACACCGTGTTTAAAATTTTTTTGAATATTTAAATAGTGACAGTGTTACTCTGTAACAACAATCTTATCCTATAAAAAGTTTTGTTAGGTATACTTACATACATAGGAACAATCTTTAGTGCTTATACCTGTTTAAAAAATTCCAGAATAATATTTATTTAAAAATTTTTACTAATTAGCATGCATCAGTTTTTCTGTTTTTCTTTTTCTTCAGGGTTGCAGAGTTCTCTTCTTTAAAATTTCAGTCAGCCTGGAATTGGCAGAGATTGTCTCAAAGACACAAACTTCAACCAAGAGTGATTAAAGTAACAGCTTACAAAAATGGATCTAGAACAGTCTTTGCCAAAGTTACTGTACCAACCATCACCTTGGTAACTAGTGTTCCAAAGTTTTCTGAGCTTTATTTTTTTTCCCTTACTCTCTTTATAATATAAAAATTGAGAAAATTATTGTTAATATTTTCTTTTTAAGAATCTGAATCTGCAGATTGCTTGTATATATATAGATTTCATAGGAATTTCACTCTTTTTTAAAAAAATTCAATATATAAATAGTGTATTTAATTAAACAGATGCAATGGCATTATACCTTGTAGAGTTATTAAAATGACAGATCTTTTAAATATTAAAATTAGTCAATAATTAGATATGCTTCATGCTGTGACTTACCTTTTATTTCTATATTTTCAACTGCTAGAAAATAACTGTATTGGTCAAGTTACTAAACTTGGCAAGTGACTCAGTTGGGTTTCTATTTTGATCATTAGAACCTTTCGTTTTGAGGAAAATATATTACTTTCTTTGTCGTAAATCACTTTGACTTACCTCTTGCTTTCTTCTAGCTGCTGGAACAGTGCACAGAAAAGCTGAATCTGAACATGGCCGCAAGACGAGTGTTCTTGGCAGACGGCAAGGAAGCCCTCAAACCTGAAGATATACCCCATGAAGCCGATGTTTATGTTTCAACGGGAGAGCCCTTTTTAAATCCACTCAAAAAAATTAAAGGTAAAAAAGATTTAAAAAATACCCTACCCCCACACATACTGAATTGCTTAAGGGGTGCAATTAAAAAATGATTTTCATCCTGTCTTTTTTGCATGGTTTAACAAAACTAATGTTTACGCATTTACAGCTCAGTAAGAGGATAATGTGCTTAATGAAAGAAAAATCCACTGACAGCCACGTTTATTGCCCTTCATTAGCATTGGTGCTTAATTTAATATAGATCTGAATAGACATTAGGGAGCCTGCAGGAGGTTAAATGGTGAAAATATAATAAATTAAATCAGAGATTATTGAATTTACTGTTTAGTTTCTGTGACACTCAATAGACATAATTCATTAGACTTATTCTCTCAGAAAATAGTTCAAAGTTTCAAGTATCATTTATTCATTTACATTCTTGGTGTTTTTTCAGATAGTATCAACATAATTATGAAAATGTGGCCAATAATGAATATACATTTCTTATATACATATGATTCTTCTAATAACACATTTCATAATAAATGTTCCAGCTTGATTATTTTTTACCTTAAAATGTATAATACAATCCTACACATATTTTCAATTAAGGTTTGCCAAAAAGTTCATTTCTTTCAACATTTCAGAAATGTGGAGATTTTCTAAAATTAAAAAAAAAAATAGCATTATTTTTTTCTTCAGTGGATAAGAATACATTTTAAGAGAGAAATAAAAGCACTACTATCTAAGAATATTCTTCCAAGCATGTTGTACCCAGAGTTTGGTATCAAGTGCTATGTATGGTAATCAGATTTAAATAACATGAGGAATAAGGGCTTTGCCATAAAAATTCAGTGTGTCTAACTGCTGTACTTTCCTATGCTTTTTATACTTTATTAGAAGTAATTTTTTCCTGCAACTTCTATAAAGCTAGTGAATCAAAGGCAAGTCTAGGCAGTAATTGCATAAGTAGAATAAAAGTAATTCTGGAGTTCATTACAGATGAAGTGATGAAAATCTCCCTTCTGTTAATGTTATTGTATAAAGTCATACTAGCATTTCTCTCTTATATAAACTTTATCTTCAGGAAATAAGCAATTTCTTGAATTCAATAGAAAATTTAAGATAATTTGGTTCTTGTGAAGAAGCTTGTTGCTATAATGCTCATTGAAAATTACCTATCTGATAGTGTAAACTCATATATTTTTCACATTTTGCTTTAAGTTTAAAATATGGCTGGCTGCCTTAATTTTATATTAGTTGAATCATTTGCTTATATAAAAACATGAGTCTTAGTGGGAAAATACTTTTCTGTGACTTTAAAAAATTCAGATATATTTGTAATGATTACTTCATTAAGATCCTTGATTATTGTTATTAATAAGAAATGCTTGCCTTTCATATGAATAATGGTATTGTGGAAGAGACATATAAAACTTATTTACAGCTAAGCTAAGAAGAAAATCTCCTGGACATGTATTCCTAAAATAATAATGTCACACACATGACTGAGCTTGGTGGATGATTTTTAAATGTACTAACTAATTTCCTCCTACTTTTTGTTTTCTCTTTTATCCTTTTCAAAAGCCAAGTCCAGAACAAAAAACTTCTCTGCTTTGTCTGCATATCTTTGGCTGTGTTTCACTGTGACATGCACTGCTGTTCTTTTAGCACCAAAATGTTGGCACACATTCCTGAAAATTTCACACCATCTCTTGCTGGATCAGCAAGCTTAACCCACCAAAATCTGGTGTTGTGCAATGGTTTTTGACTGATAATCAATCTTTATGCTGCTCGACAGTTGTTGCTGGGACACGGAGTAGAGCAGGTGGCAGATGTGCCTTGTCTTTTGAGAAAAGAAATTGTAGGTGAGCTTGGACACAGACTAGCATATCTCATGTCCATTAAAAAGAGTTAGGATAAGTATAATGGGGAAAAGCCATTCATCCAAGTTAAGCTTATAGATAAGCTTAAACAATGATGTTTGGTTTCTTCTAGAATGTTAAGAATATAAATGTAAATATATATACATTTATATATGAAAGGTAATATTTAACTTGATGTGAGTGATATGCAATATATCACTCACATATTCACATACACTTCTTCAAACCACCAAAACCAGCTTGAAGATTACCTTTCTGTCATCTGTTTTATAGATAAATCGATAATTTTCCAACTAGCCACAAATGTACCATTAAAATAAAAACTTGTATGAATAACTTTGAAAGTGGTAGATAAACTTAAAGATACATGATCAGAAGTTGGAAAATTGAACATGCTAAAGGTAAATAGGGGAAAACAGTTGGCAGAATTGATTGTTACTGATGTATCTTTCTAAATGAGCATAAATATTTTATATACAAGGGGTAACTGGTCATTATTTTAATTTACAGACTTTTATTCATTCAATAAACATTTATTGAGAGTCTATATTGCTAGATACTAGGCCAGGTCAGAGAAAGATAAAAGCTGTGGCTCATAGTCTGATTTCTTTTTTATCATTATTCTTTCATCTCTGATTTAAATTTTGATTTAATTAAAAAAAAACATATTTTTACTGAGTACCTACTATGTGTGCCCCAGCATAGGGATAAAAGTCCTGGCCTTTAAGGAACTTAAACTGAGTAGATAAGTTATAAATCCTTCAAACTGAGAACACTATTTTACAACATAAATCAAATGGATCTTATTTTATTTCTGGCATTGGAAGGCCAAGCAAGTCCGTATATATTTTGGCCATTATATTTTCATACTTCATTGGTTTTCGTTATTCATTGGAAAAGCAATGTAGATAGAGGAAGTTGCCTAAGAACGATTTCCAGATTTACTAAGACAGAAAAAATCCGACAGAACATCTCTGATATTTTAACTATTTTACTACGCCTTTTGAGCATCACTGTTGACAACCAGTGGCACTGGATCTAATAGAAAGCCAGAGAGCTATTCATCACATACCTTGAAACACAAAGCTTTCATATGGAGGTCAGGCCAAGGTCAAGACTGACATGAAGCATTCCTTGTTGAAATGCAGTATTAGAATGATTCTTACATTTTAAAGTTGAATATTTAATCAGAAATATTAATTGTATAAGGAAAAGATCAGGAACATGGAAATATTTTATATAAATACTGTTGAAAATGATGCCTTATTAGGTATTATACTTCTGGCATTTGAAGTTTTTACATTTATTAATAATTCATTGAAATTACGAGTATGCAGTTAATGAATTGCTTGAAAAGGCATATTAAGTTTTCTGATTCATGGCCATGTGGTTTAGGTTTTATTCACAGTTTCCTGAATCTTCTGCTTAATTGTGACACAGCACATGGATCTTGGATCAGATCCATGGAGTTTATGAGTTCAGCTCCTTTATAACTGCTGGAAGCTGTATGTAAGTAATGCAAACATAGCATAATAAATGGTTCGTGCCCTGTGCTTGCCTGAATATCTTAAATAAGATGAGGGGAAAACACTGTTTAGACCTAATTCGCTAGGTCCAAGTTCTATTGTATGGAGCTCTGATTGTCTTTAAAAATTTTTAGTTTTATATTTCTACTCTCTCCTATATATCCTATTCTATTACTGGGCTTTCAGAATTACCATTTACAATGATTCATTTCAGTCCTGAGTTTTGTTAACAAGAAGTGAAACTTGGTATTATGAATAAGATTTTAAACCTTTTATATCCTGTATTGTAAAGATGTAGTCACAGAAAAATATGCATGAAAGGAATTCTTGATACTACACCTAAGATCTAAATTTAAGCCTAGATATTTTCTACTAACTGCCATGTGATCTACAAAATGAAATAATTTGCTATGACAGCTTGTGATTGACAAGAATATGTGTGAGCACATTTAAAATAGGCCATCTTTTCATGTAGAAGTGTCAGTGAAATGATGGATTCTCATCATTTTAATTATTGATGATTTGGAAATATTTCAATTCCACGACACACAAGACACATTCTAAATAGCAGCATAACACTTTTTCTCATATCTGCGTCCATAATGAAATGTTCTGTCATATTTTGTTTTTCAAAAAATGCATTAGTTTAATGAACCTGGATTCATGCATTATATTCTCTTCCATTTTATGTCTACTGAATTTGTTGATTTTTAAATTGTTATGTTAAAAGCACAAGTTTCAATAGGTGACCCACCACTCACATCACATCATACCTTAATATTTCTGCTGCTAGATCTCAAGACAGAACGCTATAGTGCTGCCTACACCAATGGCTGCTTTAGTCTTGCCAAAGCAGATACCAGCCTTTGTGGTGTTCACCTGCAGGGCATTCAGTCAGCTACAGTAGTTAGGACTGACTTTCCCAAATTCCCTTTTATCTCTTGGTTTGAATAGTGTATTTATTAGGTTAGATTGTTTGTACATTTTAACTTCCACTACTCTATATATATTCAAAAGGAGGAAGATGGCATTATATGGAGAAAAAAATAACCATTTTCTTCTCAGACAGCATATGATCCTTCTATTTCTGTAAGTGAGGGTAAAACTATAGGAAAAATATTTTATGTATTTTCTACTCCAAAGTTTTAAATCTGTAAATAAAAGAATAGAATATCCTTACTATATAAAATAGGTGTGGATTTCAAGACAATTATGAGATGGACCAATAAAGTGTTCTTAGCCAGTAGGAAAATCTATAGCCTGCATGTGACTGGCAGCATCTCTTTATATTGTCAAATACCAAATCATTGAAAAACACCTAAATTCTTGACATAACCACAAAATGTTGAATTATATTCATTCACAGGGACTGCATTTGTTTACTATACAGATGCTTGCAAACCTATACTGTTCTGTTAACTTGCATGCCTTTACAAAATTGAAAATGAAACAGTTACCTCTAAAGCAAATCACTTAGTTGTCTGCCTACGCTGCTTGTTACTTTACCTGATAATTCATTTATATATTCTATAGTTATGCTTTCTGAGCCGTTTGCTATTCGAACTTTTCACTTTTGAAGGCTTTAGATATCTTGTTAGGAGAGTTGTGAGAAATGCATTATTGTTTATTT